TATTCTTAATCACTTACAAGGATCTGGTGATATCAAGCTGGAGAAGAGAAGACTTATGGTGGAAGGGTAGGGGTGGGACATGATAGCTACCTTCAAATATTTGAAAGATTATCATAGGGAAGAAGGCTTAGGCTTGTCCCTGGAGGGTACAACATCCAGAGGAACAGATGGAATTTATGGGAAGAGAAGACTTTGAGACAATAGAAGACAACCCTCCTGATGATGAGAACTGTCTACAATTGGAATAGACTGCCACCTTGGGAGTTAGTGGTTTCCTCATTGTTGGAGGTTTCAGGCAGAGATTTGAGGATCATTTCTCTAGACTGTTTGAGTGTCTTCCCCCACTCTGCATAATATTTGACCTAGATGACCTCTCAGGCTTCTCATTCTAGGATTCTTCGATTCCATGGTTTGCAGAGAAGTTGATTACTTAACCATGTTCAACAATGATTCTCTGTGTAAAGTCTAACCTAAGTCCCCTTACTGCAGCTGCAATCCAGGTCTCTCATGGGTAGAAATGCCTACAGAAGCCTAGACAGCATTTTATCTTTATTCACCACCCTAGAGTCAAAAAAATATAGTCACAGATTATTTGAAAGGTGGTGGGACAGTGGACCTGGTACTGGACTTGGGGGCCAGGAAGACGTTGGTCTGATTTCTCCCTTAGACACTTACTAGCTATCTGACTCCAGGCACATCACGTAACCTCTTTATCTTCAATTTCCTCGTATGTAAAATGGAATGCCTTTTAGGGTCACTGCGATACTCAAGTAGAAAAATCCTTGGCTTTGGAGTCAAAGAATCTGGGATCAAATTTTGCTTTTGCACACTGTATCTTTTACCTTGGCAAGACCTTTAACCTTTTTGGGCCTCAGTTTCCTTCTCTGTCAAATTAGGGGTTGGGCTAGAAGTTCCCCTCTGGCCCCAGATGAAAAGAGAAAATGTGCTTAAAGTATTTTGCAAACCTTCAATTGCTATATGTGAACTAGTTATTACTGGGTCTCCCACTGGGCTACCCTGAAAACCTACAGTCCTAATATCTCATGTGGTCTGAGGCCTCTTTCATCTGCCTTGATTCCTTCTTCCCAACTGCAGCTTGGCAAGGCAAAGGACATTGGAGGATGAGGAGGAGCAGGAGCGAGAAAGACGGCGGCGGCATCGAAATCTGAGTTCAACCACAGATGATGAGGCCCCCAAGGTCACTCACAATGGAGATCAGCCAGCAGGAGAGAGGTACATATCTGTTTGTGCTCACATGGATGGAGTTGGGAGAGGAGAGAAGGAGAGCAGGGAGTCAGTTTCCCTCTGAATGGTAGTGGAAAGGTCACTGCTTCCAGAGTCCAAATCCCCCTCGGACATTTGCTGCCTTGTGTGATCTAAGGCAGTTGACCTCTCTGCTCCTCAATTTCTTCATCTTAAAAAAAAGAGGGGGGCAGCTAGGTGTCACAGTGGATAGAGCACTGGCCCTGAAGTCAGGAGGACCTGAGTTCAAATCTGGCCTCAGACCAAACACTTGACGCTTACTGTGTGACCCTGAGCAAGTCACTTAACCCCAATTGCCTAAAAAAATAAAAAAAATAGTAAAAAAAAGAAGGTTGGACTAGATGCCCTCAGAGATCTCTTCCAACCTTAGCTCTATGAGGTTAAGAATCTATGACCCAGCTGAGGGAGGAGAGAGGGAAGCAAGGGGGTGAAGCTAATGTGATGAAAATGTGCCCCAAGGCTCTTCACAGACTCCCAACTCATCCTAGCCCAAACTGCTTTCTCTTCCATAACTGAAATTTAAGAGTAAAGCCAAAAGGTATTTCAGTGTTGGGGCATCCAGGTGGCACAGTGGATAGAGTTCCAGGCCTGGAGTCTTCATCTTCCTGAGTTCAAATCTAGCCTCAGACACTTACTAGCTGTGTGACCCTGGGCAAGTCACTTAACCCTGTTTGCATCAGTTTTCTGGAAAAGAAAATGGCAAACCACTCCAATATCTTTGCCAAGAAAACCCTAAATGGGGTCAAAGAGTTGGACACAACTAAGAATGACCCAACAACAAAAATCTCATTGTAGTGGAAAGAGTACAGGGATAAGGATCAGGAGCCCTGCATTCTGGACCTGGCTACATCACTGAGTGACTTTGGACAAGTCACTTTACCAGTGTATCCTTAATTTTACAATTTCATCTATAAAAATAGGAATTGGGTGCTCTTTGAGGCCCCTCCCAGTGGTAAGTCTGTAATTGTCAGTGTCCCATGGGAATCACATAACTCCCACGCCACATAAGTCTCACCCCAAACCACTTTATTAAATTCAATTTATGGAGTGCCTACTATGCACCAAGCATTGTACAAGGCTCTTGGAATACAAAAGGGAAAAAAACAGTTCTACCCTCAAGGATCTTACATTCTACTAGGGAGAAACATGAACACAGATAAGAATATACAAAATATCTGCCAAGTAAATATAAAGTAATTCAGGGTCATTGTGGTAAAAGGAAAACTAACAATTAGAGGGATCAGGGAAGGCTCCCTGTAAGAGGAAACACCTAAACTGTGCTTTGAATACAAAGAAGGATCCAGCTTAGTAGAGAAGTTGAGGATGAGTTTTTCAGGCATAGGGAACCAGGGCACATAGACAAAAGACAGAAGTTCACGTACAGGGAACAAGAAGTAGACACAGTTGTCTATAATATCCCCGCTTCCTCTCTTCTAGGTTCCCAAGCCTGGAGGAAGCTGAGGCCCCAAAGAGTCATTCCTCCATCAAAGATGAAGAAGATGAGAATTTCCAGGCAGTTCTAAGAACGAGGCAGGAACGGCGGCTCCGGCGGCAAGCCCTGGAGACTTCCCAGTCCACCATTAAGGAGCACCCAGAGGTAGAGAAGAAAAAAGATAGCGAGAGTGCAGGGTCAGCCACACAGGAGCCCCCAGTGCCACAGAAGGACGTGGTTCCTCCACCCAGAGGAAGACTGAGCCAGAAGCAGAGGGGACCTTGGGCCAGAGATGAGAAGAGTTCAGAGGGAGAGACAAAGGACATGAAGACATTGGACCAAAGGACAGTCTCAGCCCCAGAAAGGACACCAGCCCAGGACCAGATAGCTCCAGAGAAAAAAATAGCTTCAGAAAAGACACCAGCACAGGACCAGATAGCCCCAGAGAAAAAATTAACTTCAGAGAAGCTATCTGCTTCTGAGGAAGCAATATTCCCAGAAAAGACATCAGTCCCTGAGGAAGCATCGACCCCAAAGAAGGTGTTAGCTGGGGAGAAGATATTGACTTCAGTGAAGACATCAGCCCGGGAGAAGGTATTGGTTTCAGAAAAAACGTCAGTGTCTGAGGAATCCTTAACCCCAAAGAAGTTATCGACTCGGGAGAGGGCATTGGCTTTTGAGAGGACATCAACTCAGGAGAAAGCATTGACCCCAGAGAAGGGGACAGTTCAGGAAAAAGTAACAGTCTCAAAGAAGCCCGGCCTGGAGCAGCCCCCAGTTCAGGCTCAAGAGCAAAAGGACTCTGAGAGACATGTACCAGAAAAGAAAGAGCAAAAAAGAAGGGAGGCCTCGGAGACGTCCCCCTCTTCAGAGGGACCTGGGGAGGAGAGGAAGTCAGAACCTCAGGCAGTGGCTTCTCGCTTCCAGCCCTTCACCCTCCAGGTGGGTAATGCCTCTGTCTGTGCCGCTGTTCTCCTTCCCCGCTTTCATCCCATAACTTCCTATCCTACCATCACTTCAGCCAGTGTTACTATACTTTGCACACAGTAAGCGCTATGTAAGTGCTTTTTCATTCATTCATTCAATCTCCCTCAGAGCCCTTTGAAATCCTTGAAATGCCCTTTAGACATCACTGACTGAGTCCGTTCTTAGAGAATTCTCTCTGTTTTTCAGAGCAGAGGTATCGACTAGATTAAAATGTAAATTGGGAAATATTAAATAAATAAGTAAAAACACAATAAAACAGATTACATTACATTTTAAACTAAGTCAATATGATTATGAACTGAGAGCATCCCAGTGTGGAAGGAACACAAAACAATTCAGAGGAGGCCTGATTGCAGAGTGGGACCTACCTCAGAGTTTGCTACTGCCCTCCCCTCTTCTTGAATCTTTCTGCATTGACTCCCTGCCCTCTGACCTAGGAGCACCTTCACCTAAAGTTCTTCCTAATTGCCTGATATCATTGGAATTTTCCCATGCCCTTGAGGCTGGTCATCCCACAGTGGCTCACTGGAGGAGTATTGGGCTCAGGGTGAGAGTGGGAACACCGGGGCAGCTAGGTGGTGCTGTGGATAGAGCAGAGGCTCTAGAGTCAGGAGGACCTGAGTTCAAATGTGGCTGCAGACACACAATACTTACGAGCTGTGTGACCCTAGGTAATTGCCTCACCAAAAAAAAAAAAAAATGAGAGTGGGAGCACCCTGTACCACAGGACTCCCACCTCCACTGCATCATTCTCCCTAAAGAACTCCTCCCTTTTACCAAATAAGTAGGAAATCAAAGGGAATAATCTCTAAGTTCCCTTTCAGTTTCAAGTCGAATGATTTCTTATTTTCCGCACCAGATAGGGATTCAGCTCAAGCCTAGGGTCCCTATAGGGGACCACTCTAGCACACACATAAGGCTCCAAAGAGCTGGGACAGGGTCCCGGTAGTGCCCCAGGACCAGACAAACCTCCTGTTTTCTCCTCCAGGTAAAGCTCCCAAGCAAAGAAGCAGGACCAGAATTGACCTCTCCGAGTCAGATCACCTACAGCAGTTCCCTCAGACGCTCCAGCCCCAGGACCATCTCCTTTCGGGTAAGAGTCAGGGGGAAAGAAGAAGGTCTCTGTACCAGAGAGTTACAGACCACTTGTCTCCATGTGCATGGCAGACAAAACTGGGTAAAATGGGTACTTTTAATAGCATGAGGGAGTTAGATTAGAGTCAAAGTAGAACTTCCTGATGGGCAGAGAGTTGGGACATAGATGGATGACTGTAGGAAGGGCTAGAATCCTTTAAAAATAAGATAAATAGAAATGAGCAATCAGTTGCTCTTGGAGGTCCTAACTGACCAAATTGGTGCTTGGGTGATAAGTATGGGGTTTTCTAACACCGGCAGCCACACCTGATGAGGAAGGCCAGAACTGCTAGGCAGATCACATGTTTGGGGGTGGTTGATTTGGGGCTAGGCTGACTTTATCCTTTATCACACTACACAACTACCTCCCCCTGCACCTCCCCCCTCCCTTATCTCATGACTCCCCACCTCACAGATCTTCCAGTCTAGAAATCACTTTGTTTCTCTGGGTTTCGGTTTGCTCATCTATAAAATGAGGGGGTTGAGCTAAATGGCTTTTAAATCAATAGTCATGTGAAGACTTGTCTGGTGGAATGGGCAGATGAGAGCAATTTGTTCCAACAGCCATGAAGGCATCTGAAGCAGGCTTGTCAGTGCATCCTGACCATCTTGACTGGTCCTGCGTTGGACTTCAATGGCTCTGGAGGAGAGAGTGAGGCTGACAAATTTGTGCAACTCCGCCTCACTTAAAGCCAATTCATGAACAAGTCAAGACATCATGCTGTGATGTCATTGGTCCTCTTTGAAAATGAAGGACGAGGGCCATCTAGGTGGCACAGTGGATAGAGCTCTGACCTTGGAGTCAGAAGGACCTGAGTTCAAATTAGGCTTCAAACACTTGAAACTTACTAGCTGTGTGACCCTGGGCAAGTCACTTAACCACGATTGCCTAACCAAAAAAAAAAAAAATTGAAGGACAAACAAGTTCCACATCCATACCAAAAATTCCCACCATATGCAACATAACTGTCACCCACACCAGGCATCTTGGTATAGAAAATGCTGGCTTCAATCCAGTTGGATTGGATGTCCTTTAAGGTTCTTTTCAACTCTAAATCTATGATGCTATGATTCTAGGAACCATACTCCCCTGAGGGTATGCCTACCTCATGATTCCCACCTTTACTACATAGCAGAATTCCCAACCCAGACCATATAATCATATAATTCCTAAGCCATGACCCCCTCTCTCCCATACTATATAAATCTCATCATATAACTCATGCCTATTACCATATATTTCCCAACTTGTACCTTATGAGAAATTGTGTGGCAGTATAAAGACTGTTAGACTTAGAATGAAGGGAGACCCAGGTTCAAATCCCACCTACTGTTTGTGTGATCATGAGAATGTCATGTAACCTCTCTAAGTCTCACTTTTCACAGCTGTAAAGTTGTACCTATGGTACCTACCTCACTGGTTTTTGAGGGGCTGAGATTATGCAATATGCTTTGTAAACTTTAGAGTAGCATATGAATGTCAACTATTATTAATAACTTTTGTTTAGTAAAGTATTATTTTATAATTTTAATCATGCTTAATAACTGAATTTGTAATTGAATTATTAATTCTCTAATTAATTATAACTAATAACAAATCCCACCCAATATCCTATACTTCCCAGATGGCCTCTAAATAAATCATTCATCCTTTCTATCTCATAACTCCTACTACAGAACTCTCTCCCTTCCCCATCCCCCAACACACACAGAGCTCCTACCTGGTACCACAGAACTCTCCCTGGCCCACAGGAAGGTAAGGAGTAAGGGCAGTAGTATTCTTTCCCCAGAACTACCTTACCGCCTGGGCTCCAACCAAGGCTTATAGTCTGACTCTGTAATTAGACCAGGATTCAGATGTAGGCAATGAAAGCTGCTTCTCCCACTATGCTTTGTGACCATTTGGCCAGGTTTTTCTTTCTTTCCAACAAAGAGGTAATATGCAAAGGTATGCGGATGAGAGGTAGACTAATAAGGATGGAAAAGCTCCTTGTTCACTAACATTTTTTCTTTCTCTTTTCAGATGAACACCAGGAAAGAAAACCCAGAGACAACGTTTACCCGTAGGTAAGGGTTTGGGGAGGGTCTGCCCCTCTCTTTTATATCTACTAAATACTTACTCTGTGGCCAGCTTTGTATGTGATTATAAGAGAAGTCCAGGATGTGACTCCCATATTCAGGGACTTTACTTTGTCTAGAGAGACAAAGCTCACAGTGATGAAGAAGGGATTCTGGGAAAAAACCTTAAAGGAAGTCTCAGAAGGTAAGAGGTCAATGTAGGCTGCGATGCTGTGGGAGGACTTCGTGCTCAGGGGTGGAACATGAGCTGGGCCTTGAAAGTTGGATAGCATTTGAGAAGGGACACAGAATAAGCATAGGGGAAAAGAGGAAAACAATGGTTCCTTGAGAATACCAGGGAACATAGCAACACAAGAATAACCACACTGGATCTGAGCAGTGGTCCATTCTGACTAGGACGTGCAGGGGAGGGCCAGCTTGTTCTTTCTGATGTCACTTTGAAGGAAAAGTATATTTCTTAGGCACTGTCTCTGATTTTCTCCCTAGTGGAATCATTGAAATTCTTTTTGAATCAACTTCAGTAATGTCAATAAGCATTTATTAAGCACCTGGAGTGTACAAGAGCACTGTGCCAGAATTTAAAGAGGATACAAAGATTAACCAAGACACTCTGCCTGCCCTCACAAGTTCAGGTGGCTAGAAGACAGTTTTAGCCCCCCTGGAGGAGTATTGGGCTAGGGGGGTGAGAGTGGGAGCACCCTGTACCACTAGAAGTCTAGAAGTCACTTAGCCTCACTGGGTTTCTGTTTATCAGATCTTTGATCCTATAATCATTACCGACTTCAGAGGAGGAGGGGATTCAGAGGTACCATTTGAGCTGGGCTTCAAAGGATGGGTAGGAATATGGGTGAAATGGGCATTCCAGAAATAGAAAGCAAACAGATAAATTCAGGATTGCGCAATATGTTCAGTGACCCCTGGCTCGTAGCCGGAGCATGTAGGGGAATAGTATAAAAGAATATTGGAAAGGTAAGGTGGTGCCAGCTTGTAGAAGGCCTTGAAAGAAAGAAGTCTGGACTTTATTTATAATAATTTTATCGTTCAGTCATGTCCAACTCTTCATGACCCCATTAGGGGTTTTCTTGGCAAAGATGCTGGGGTGGTTTTCCATTTCCTTCTCCAGTCCATTTTACAGATGAGGAAACTGAGGCAAATAGGGTTAAGTGACTTGCCCAGGGTCACACAACTAGTGTCTGAAGCTGAAATTGAACTCAGAAAGATCTTCCTGACTTCAGGTCCTACAGTCTATGCACTATGGTGCCACCTAGTGGCTAATTTATAATAGTCCATGTCTATATAGCACTCCATGGTTGACAATACAATTTTCTCACACTTCTGTGAGTCATGAGTCGTTGTCATCCTCATTTTGCAGATATGAAAACTGAGGATAAGAGTTTTAAGTTGGCCTCTTAGACTTTAGACCTTATGGTGCTCTTTCCTCCATACTAGATGATTTCTCATTTCCTATGGAAGGTGGGGGCCACGAAAGGTTTTTGAGCAGGGGAGTGATGCAATCACAGATCTGTGAATAAGGAAAATTAGTCTATTTATACACCTGTGGCACCGTATACACCTCATGAGCCAATGCATTCTTAGAATTTATTTCCATTTCCATTCCTTTTGTTTCTTAGCCTGGATATTCTTCATCCAGGGCCCTGTCCTGTCTGGACCAGAATCCTTACTACTTTCTTTAGGGAAGGGTTTGAGAAGTCAGGGCTTGAAGGTGGGGCTGTGGTTGTTCCTTGAGGAACACACGCTGGCTTCCCAACAATCCCTAGGGCTGATGGATGGGAGGAGACTGGGAGGGCTGTAGATTTGGTCAGTAGGGAGATCAACCTAAAAGGACATTTTGAGGAGGCCTAGACAGAAATGGGAAGAGGAGAGGGCTTGTCTAAAAAAGGAAAGACCCTTAGATAGGATAGCTGAGTTCTGCCCAAGGCTTATTAATTTCTAGCTTCCGACCCTCTGCTCCAAGGAGAGGTATTCTAGGAAGCTATGGGATTTGGGATTTTGGGTAAGGACAGATCAGTGTCAGTCACTCTGCCATACCGAGAACTGTCTATATCCTGAGTGAAGGGATGGAAAGTTGTGGATGCAAAATATGGGGAGAGTGTGACCCTTTGTTCTTAGACAATTCCCAGTCTGATGGAGGCTGTCCTACTTCTGTCCTTAGGAAGCTCCCTGTCTGAGGCTGGAAATGCAGTCTTCTCTTTCAAGGAGTTCCCAATCTGACAGGCACATACATTAAGGAAAAAGCTAAAGACACATTGTCCCCTTTATCCCTCCCTGTCCTCCACTCCTAAAGTACAAATAGAACAGATTCCTCTACAGTCTACTGAGCACAGCTAACTTTGCTCTATTGGGGGGGGGGTCCCCACTCCCAGAATGTCCCTTATTCTCAGTGTTTTTTCCTATGTAGTCATTGTTCTCAGAGTAGATTTGTTTGGGCAGAGGGAGAACCAACCAGGAGAAGCTGAGCCAGATGCCATCTCCAGGTTCAGGTGGGGAGTATAAATCAACAGAGTCACTGAAGTGCTCATCTCTGGCACCAGGTGGCAGGATGGGTGCACTGCGGCCTTCTTAATGGTTCCAGCCCTTTGGGGAGATGGAGGGGGAGAGACTAGTTGATGCAGAACGCCCACCCCCACCCCGCATTCCCAGGGACTCAGGACAGACTTGGTCTTGGTGGGGCTTCTAACCAACTCTTCTCTCCTGCTATACTCTCCTCCTTCTTCTCCTCCTCCTCCCAGTGCCAGCGTGAGGCTCCCAAGCAACACAGTCAAGTTAGGGGAGAAGTTGGAGAGATACCACACAGCTATACAGGTGAGTGGGCAGAAACAGGCCCAGATATGTGGGGAAAGGGAAGGGCCCTATCCTAGAGCTGCTGGTGGAGGGGCCCAGGAGCAAGCCAGGTACACAGGTGGAAGAAAAGAACTGGAGGGGTAAGGAGAGGGTATCTCTTTTGCCAAAGTCCCTGGCACTTACAGAACTCATCTTCCTTTCCCTTCTCTCTTCCGTCCCTCACGTCCTTTGATCCACCTCCCACTCCACCCTTGCTTCAGGGTGACTGAGTGGTTTCTGCTTTCTCTATTCGCAGAGAGCAGAATCTGTCAAGAGTCCAGGCTCAGCCCGGACTGAAATCTTTGTGGCTCCTGTTGGGGTGGCCAGCAAGAGGAACCTCTTTGAGAAGGAGCAGGTCCAGAATAGCAGGGCTGAGCCCGCTCTGAGCAAGAAGGTAAGGAAAGGCCCTGCCAAGTTGATCTCTGCCGGGATTTCCTCTCTATCTGGACTCTTTCCTGGAGTCAGAGGCAGGGGAAGAAATACCTTCCTTCCACAACTCCAGAAGTAGGGTGGTATGCCTGTGATGAACAAACCTCCTGCATATTCTGGAACAATCCTGATTCCAAGGCAGGTGTAGAGTGGGGATGGGGAGTACATTTTTAACAAGGCTTTGCAAAAGAAATCCTTTATCAGACCATGAGTTCTAATTTTTGATACATAAGGTATAGTCATCTTAGGTAGATGTTTGTAGGCATCCTCCTGATGCTAACCAGACACACTATCTCTGGCCCAACACCTAGAGATCTGTCAACACCATGACTGGCCCAAATGGAAACATTTTATGAATACCAGTGGGGTGTAGGGACGGGATACCTCACTCTTGCTACATTGTAGGGGGAGCATGCTATAGTCAGTCATTTATTAAGTGCTTATGGTATGCCAGGCATTGTACTAAGTTACAGTGGACAGAAAATTGGACTGAGAGTCAAGAAGATCTGGGTTCTAATTCTGGTTTCTAGACATTTACTAGCTGTAAAACAAACCCTAGGCAAGTCACTTAACCTCTGTGGTCCTCACCTTCTTCATCCATAATAAGAAGTTAGGTCTCATCATCTCTAAGGTCCCTTCCAGCTTTCAATCTAGGTTCCTATGATCCTGACTTTCCCATTCCCTTCTTTACATTGCATTTCCTATCAGAGCCTACTCATCCCCACCATGCACCTCTTCATTGACATTTGGGCGAATTTAATATTTCAGAGACTGTGCCACTCCAAGACTCTCAGTCACATAACAGCACAGGAAGACTACTCAAATACTCAAGGAAAATATCGATATTAAAAAAGATAGGCCTTTATCTCAGAGAAGAGCTTGAGAGTTATTAAAAGTTCTGCATACATTTCCAAAGGCACTCCAGCCCAATCTCCTTCTATTTAGTCTGGGCCCAGCCTATCCATCTGCATTATCTGTCTGAGCTGTAGCTATGTGGTCAGCTCTGCGGATGGTTCATCCAGTTTTGTTTTCACTGTCTGTCCCCCATGCCTAGAATGCTGCCTCTCCCCATCTCCACCTCCTGGCTTCCTCCAAGCCTCAGCTAAAGTTCTGTAAGAAGCCTTTCCCAGACCTCCTCAATCTTTTTTATTTATTCATTTTTTTTTTATTTTTAGGCAATTGGGGTCAAGTGACTTGCCTAGGGTCACACAGCTACTAAGTATCACGTGTTTGGTCTGAGGAACTCAGGTCCTCCTGACTTCAGGGCTGGTGCTTTA